TTTTTCAGACGTATTCTGGAATTTGTCCGATTTTTTTTTTTTTCCCAGGTTTTAAGTTGGATTAAAGTTCCAATTGTACGCAAATTGATCGTGCCCGCCTCAAGAACCGATTGGAGCGGTGATGCTGTGGTCAAAAAAAAAATAAAAATAAATGTTCAATTAGAGAGAAATTCGTCCGGAGAGGGGTCGGGATGATGATGGGGGAGAGGGGGCGGAGTTAGCTGGTCATTTGGGGCGGTCTCGTTAAAATCGCAGCCGGATTGGGTGGTAAAGATACAAATCTTTGTAGGTTGGTCGATTAATTTGGTCAATTAATATTCATAGCGTGGCCAGAAAGAGTCCGTACGTAGAAAATAACTCCCAGCTTGTAAACATCAAGAGCCGTTCCCGGCGTAGATGAGCAGCGTTTCGGTGGGTTCATGGCGGGGGGTGATGGGAAATGACTCCCCCACGGGAATTAAGGCACGGATTTGGGGGTCGAAAGGAATTTCCGTCACCCACGGACCCCACTCCTGGCTCTGGGGGTGCAAATCTTCAACTTCTACGGAGGGCCACGTCCTTTCGTTCTTTGGACGGCGGAGTTGCCTTTGCGTAGCCCCGAAAGCGCGACGGGGCAGGTTCGTTCAGAAGCAGCGCCTCGCGTCGTCGAGCTACGTCCGCATTTCCATTTCCCAAGTGCCACCGGGCTGGTAGGTGACGTTCGGTGGCGTCATCCCAGGCAACTTGACGAAGTTGGGCAAGTAGACTTCTGGTGGTACCTTCTCTTGAGGTTTCAGCTTGAAGCCATCGTTGGGTCGGAAGGCAACTCAAAGCCGAGGAAACGTTCCCTTGGGTCACCCCTAAGTGACAACGCGGTTGTCGTAAATTGGATGTTCTCGTTGAGGGACGGCGTTCGGGGTCAACCACAGCCCCGTTCCCGACCTCAGTAAGGACGATTGTAAGGGAATACAAGGACTTGACAGCGAGGTAGTCATGGCCCCTGGCTGACCGACCAGGATTTTGGCATCAGTACCATCAAGCACTCCCGTGCCAGCCCCTAAAAAATTGGAGGTCCCTGCACGGGCATGAGTTGAGCTGAGGTAGGACATCGCTACAGAGCCAGGCTAGCCATCCCTCGTCAACGGTAAACGAGAAGGTGGGCCCAGTCTGGATGTCTTCATTAACATTGCTCACTCAACCTGTTTTTAAGGACCGGTTGGGATCCAAAAATAGTTGTCGAGTGTGATTTTGGGTTTGGTTTGTTTTTTTTTTTCCCGAATCACAGAGGGACCTACTTCAGTAAAAATGGGGGATGAAGTCAGGGGTGAGTTGAGAGGGACGGTGGGAGGGTTGGCTGCGGTGAGTTTGGGAGGAGACGAACTTGGAGACGAGGGAATAATACTAAATTGAAAAGCGAGAGCCTTAACCCAAAGGCACTCCCTGTCAACAGGGTGAGAAGAAGAAGGGTGAGGCTACAAAAAGACCGACCTGGGAACCTCGTGTCGCCGGTAATTCACTAATACTGGGCTCAGATCAACAAGCGGGTGTGCAAAGACTTACACAACCGGGGTTATCGGGTAGGACGTGGAGCGCGTCTTCTTCGGACGGGTACCTCGGCCCAGTTGATGGACTTGAGGCATCTCAAATCCTACTGTTGAGTCGGGGAAGCGCCATCCGGACTCGTTAATGGATCGTCGCCTCCCACCTCCGCTCCGACCCTGCGCCGGGTCTTTCCTTTCGGCACGTGGGGCTCGGACGCATCGCGCAAAGCAACGCCAGCCCTGCTCCTCCTGTGGATCTCCTGGTGCCTCGTACGGTGGGAGGCTTGGCGGAAGGTTTTTTTGCAGATGGGGCAGGTGTAGGGTTTTTCTCCCGTGTGGATTCGTTGGTGGGTGACAAGGAGAAAATTAGAATGGAAATTTTTCCCGCAGTCGAAGCACTTGTAAGGTCTTCCCTCGGTGTGGAACCGCTGATGCTTCAGGAGAGCTGCGATGGCACCGAAACATTCCTCACAACTGGGACATTTAAAGGGTTTCTGCTCCGTGTGACTTCTCCGGTGTCTCCGAAGGGTTGAGCTATCGTTGTAGCACTTCTCACAGTAGGGACACTTAAAAGGTCTCTCCCCCGTATGGACTCGTTGATGTTTGAAGAGGGTTGCGCTATGGCCGAAGGTCTTCTCGCACTTGGAGCATCTATAGGGTCGCTCTCCGACGTGGGTAGCCCGGTGAAGGACCAAAGTTGACTTTGCATGGAAGCTCTTACTACAGTAGGGGCATTTATACCGTCCCTCCCCGGGGTGGGCTCCCTGAGACGTCCTCTGCTTCTTTTCCATGTGGATCTTCTTGTGTTTGATGAGTCCGGAGCTGTCCGTGTAGCTTTGCCCGCAATCCGTACATTTATAGGGTCTCTCCCCGGTGTGGCTTCGCTGATGTCTCGTAAGGTGGGAGCTCAAGCGAAAGCTTTTGTCACAGTCGAGGCAGTTGTAGGGTTTCTCCCCGGTGTGGATTCTCCGATGGGCACCGAGATCTGAACTCATGACGAAACTCTTCCCGCATTCGGGGCACTTGTAGGGTTTCTCCCCGGTGTGAACCCGCTGGTGAACGATAAGGATCGATCTCCGGCTGAAGCCCTTCCCGCACACCGAGCACTTGAACGGTTTCTCTCCCGTATGGATCCGCTGATGAATGACCAGGTACCGTTTCAAGCTGAAGTTCTTCCCGCACGCAAGACACTGGAAAGGGTTGTCCGCGCTATGGGTGGCTTTGTGGGCCAGGAGATACGTACTCAACCGAAAAGTCTTCCCGCAAACGAGGCAGACGTAAGGTTTCTCCCCGGTGTGAATCTTCCGATGGCTGCTGAGGGTGGAGGTGAGACGGAAACGCTTCCCGCAGTCGGAGCACTTATAGGGTTTCTCGCCCGTATGGATCCGTTGATGCTTGTTGAGGGCTGACCCAACTCGGAACCCCTTCCCGCATTCGTGGCAGGTGAAGGGCTTTTCGCCGGTGTGGATGCGTTGGTGGGGGATGAGGAAGGATCTCCGACTGAAGAGCTTCCCGCAGTCGGGACAGCTATAGGGGGTCTGGTGGGTGGCCCCACTCTTGCTGCAGCCGTAGGGTTTCTTCGTTGGGCGGCTCCCACGGCAAGTTTGCAGTCGTCCACCCTTCCTTCGCGATGGGCGTCCACGGGCGGCGTCGCTCGGTTCTGCGGAGGTTTCTTGCGGTTGACTCTCACGCTTGCGTTGCGCCGTTGGGTTTGGCTCTGGAGGGTTCATCACCTCAGGTGGGTCCCAACCCAACTCCGATCTTCCTGGTTCCTCCAGAACGTTTTCTTTCCCATCCGCCATCCCGTCAGCTGCAGGGATGAAGATCCCAAGCCAAAGGTGAGGGCAACGCCTTTCCCAAAGTTCCTATGAAAGTTTAAGGCTCCGATGGCCAAATCCAGCCGGCTCAGCAGCTCCAGAGGTACCACCGGGTGGGGTGGGGATGGGGGTGACCCCAGGCTATGACCCCACACCGATGCAACTCTCAGGGGATGAGGACACAGGGAAAGGCCATGGGAAGGAGATCTGTTGAGGGTCACCAGAGAAGGTCCACGGGGACCTCTGGGCTGAGGACGGGTGACCGTGCCCTTCTCCTCCCCTGCCGCCCACCTGCCCGAGGGGCTCCTCCTCCATTCCCCCCTTTCCCATCACATCCAGAGCCTCCCTTCCCCCAGCTCCACTGGGAAGCCCTGGATGCAGTGATGGGGTCCCACGGTCACTCGCACCCACCCCACGGGTGGGATGGGATCAATCACCACCTCACCCTGTGTCCCAAGGCATCATCACCCACCAGCATCCACCTGGACCCGGG